TAAATAATTTGAATTATTTTTCTTATTTAGGGTTATGAAATAATTAGAGAATGTGTGGTAAATAGATATGCAGCATATATACATACATATGAAAGCCTTATAAAACATTAAAGCTCTTCAAAGATATAGCATTCATTTAATCAAGCTCTTTTTTACAAAATGGAACTCTGGTTAGACTTTTCTGTGAGGTTGTACAGGTGCTGCATTTGAAACAGTTTTAAGGTTTATGTTATATTTAATTTTAGAATATGGTTGTGATGCTTCATCTATCTACACTATTTTTAGTAGTATGCTGGGACTTTAAAATCGGAAATGAATAGATAATATTAAAATTCTAAAGAGTAAATCTTGACAAAGATTGAGATCAGTATCTCATACGTTTGGAATATATATGTGTGTGCACATACACGTGCATGCTAACATAGATGTGTTCTGTCTAAAACAGCTGGGTTTGAACTTCTACAATCTAGAACTCTTGAGGATGGCTTCTAATAGCTTTTAAATGGGAATAGAATTGTCTGTTATGACAGTATAATGATTTCCTACACTATCTAAATTACCCTGCTCAATTTTAAAAAACTGTAAAAACTAAAATATTAACTATTGCTTCTGTTTCTGCTTTTTTTCTAGATTATTAATTTATATATTGTGCTTTAGTATATTTTCACAAAAAATAGGAGAAAGACAACATGAAAGAGTGTTGTGGCTTCAAATTATAGATTGCCAAATATGTGAATTATTTGATTGCCCTTTAATAGATAAAATATTCTTTAATATGGTTATTATATGACATAACTGTATGATGTTAGAGTTAAGATTAGGGTTATAATTATTACTTTTTAGCTAAGGGGAAGAAGAGCAGCTACCTTTTTGTACAAAGGAACCTTTAAATGTTTGCAAATTGTAGATCATCAGAATACATACTTTAAAAGTTATGTTGTTTGTAGAGAAACAGTATGTGTCTCTTTGGTTTTGGCTTAGTACTGTATAGTCCAACTACTGCAGTTATTCTGTAAACTGTTGTAAGTAGTCCCACTGTCACCTATCACCACAGATTCTGCCCATACAACCAGAGTTTGCACTGGCACCTTAGAAGATCTGATAAAAGAAAGATTCTGAGAAACATGAGCAAGGCAAGAAGAAGAAACATTCCTTTCCATTTCTACTGGTGAAAGAAAATACAAAGGGTGCTTTAAGCTGAACAAATGGACCTGTCCCCAAGCCCAGAAATACTGGCTTAAAATTAAAACATGGTTGGAAGAAATAATGACAAAAAACTGAATTAAGACCAGAAATGTTTTTATTAGGTATAATAAAACCTAATTTTTGTAGGAACCTCCAAAATATCATACTCCATATAGTAGCTGCTGCCAGAATTTCATTTGCTCAAAACTGGAAACAGGACGCGATCCTCTCCAAGGCAGCAATAATAAAAAAGATCTTCGCATGTGCTGAAATGGACTGGCTAACAATGGTATTGAAAAACAAAGAATAAATAGAGTACTATAAGATATGGAATGTTTGGTATGAGCGGTTAGAAAGAAAACACAAAGGTGTCAATCGATATGAGAAAGTGTTAACTAAATGTATGTATGTATGTATGTATGTATGTATGTATGTTAATAGCATAAGTTAAATTGAAAAATAAGAGTATAAGTGAATAGATTGGAGAAGTAATTGATATGGTTATAGACTTTGTAAATAAGTGTGAACACCATTACAGAATAGTTGTAAAATGTGGAAATCATTTTTTAAATGTTGAAATGTTGAATAAATATTTAAATAAGTTGAACAAATCATAGTCAGCATGCAAACAGGACAGCACTTATAATTTTATGATACAGTTGAAGCACAAAAGTATTAGGTTACAATTCAATACTGTCTAATTTTGCTAACAAGCAGTATTGGCCTTAGAAACAAATTATTCTACTAGTCAATAATAATAAACAATTGGACAAAAATGGCAGTGCTTGTTCAAAGAATTCAATTAAAAGACATATCTTATTTCTCTAATTTTTTTATGGACAGTTTACTCAGTATCTTAAACCATCAATAAAATCATTTATTAAAAGTAGTAGCAATTAAACAACTAGCATTGTAATTATAAACTTGTGATAGCTTTATTCTTAAAATACAGACTCTGCAGCAAAAAAATTGAATTTGAATTGAATTCGTTAATTACAAATTACTGCAAAAATGAATTCGGTGGTAATCTCTATTTCAGAGAGAATACCGAGAATTATATGCCTAGGTCTGCTAAGCATATTCATATTGCAATTTGTATTTTTATCTAAATAAGAATAGAAAATCAAGTACTGTAAGATTATCTCTTGTGCTATAATGAGGTAAACTTGATAATGTATTGTTTTATCTAAATTAGTAATACTCCCTAGTCCCTGTGCATGGTATATTAAAACTATTCTATTTTAAAGCAACAGATATGAGCAGCTGGTAAGCTGTTGCATTGACAAATAGAGGTATCTTTTATAGTTTATGAAAGTAAAATCTACCAATTTTTATAAACTAATAATTTCATTATTTTTACTGTGATAGTTAGGAATAAGTTAGATTTCACATGGATACATTTTCACCTTCATTATATAAGCATTCTTGAAAATAGTATAACATATACTTTTATCTTGGAAACAAACAATATGCTCTCTAGCGAGCTATTTTGTATATATGTGGTCACATAATGAAGTAAGCAGACATTAAAATACATGAAGGTTTTAAGCAGGTCTACAAAGGCAAATTAAAACAAAAAACTAGTTGTAAGTAGTTAAAAGTTGTGTATTAAGATGAAAAATTATTTTGATGTATTTGATATAAAAATACTTGTCCAATTTCCTAGGTGTAACTGCTGAAAATTATTCATAAACCAGTTTATGCCATCCAAAGCTAACCAATGCAAATTTATCAGACTTAATATAGATTATTTTAACATCTGTATTTGGCATACATTGTCCATTTTCCAAATAACTTGATTATTTAAATCTCATCCTCAGGTACTATGTTGAAAAATTCATCCTATTATATCTTGGAAACTTAACTCAGCCTATTATTCTTTTCAATTATTTTGGAAATTAAATTTATTTCACCTTCAGATACTATAACATTTAATGTTGTATTGTTGCATTTCACTTTGTCCTTGCCCAAATGCAAAGCCATAGGAAGAGCTGGGATAAAAATATACAAGTATCATATTGAAGGAAGTTCTTCTATTTTTAATGAATCTTATTCCTATATAATAATCATTTAGATATTGGAGAGCAAGGTTGGACTAATAAGGCCCCAGGCTAAAAACCAGGAGACTGAATTCTAGTATGAAAACTTGCTGGGTGATTTGGAGCCAATCACAAGACTCTCAGACTCACTCACTGCATAGGGTTGTTATTGTGTGGAAAATAGAAGGAGGAAAGAGTTTAAAATATGTTCACTGCCTTTAGTTATTTAAAAGAATATAAAGGTCTCTCTTTCTTTCGCCATCTTGCGCCCGGATCGTCTCGTACAAAATGACTGGAGAAACCACAGAAACTGTCCCAGCCACAGAACAGGAGCTGCCACAGCCTCAGGCTGAGACAGGCTCTGGAAAAGAATGTGACACCGATAAATCAGTGCCAGAACTTGAAGAATAGGACTCCATGTAAGCCAGACACCACACAGCAGACGCAGCTTGCAGGAGCAGCTGAAATAGATGAAGAACCAGTTAGCAAAGCAAAACAGAGCCGGAGTGAAAAGAAAGCACGGAAGGCAATGTCCAAGCTTGGCCTTTGTCAGGTCACAGGTGTAATCAGAGTTACCATCAGGAAATCCAAGAACATCCTCTTTGTCATCACCAAGCCATATATATATATATATATATATAAAAGTCCTGCGTCAGACACCTATATAGTCTTCGGAGAAGCAAAGATTGAAGATCTCTCTCAGCAAGCACAGCTGGCTGCTGCTGAGAAATTTAAAGTGCAAGGAGAAGCTATTTCAAACTTTCAGGAAAACACACAGACTCCTACTGTACAAGAAGAAAGTGAGGAGGAAGAGGTTGATGAGACTGGCGTTGAGGTGAGACATTGAGTTAATTATGTCTCAAGCAAATGTTTCCCAGGCAAAAGGCGTTCATGCCCTAAAGAATAGCAGTAACGATATCGTAAATGCAGTTATGGAATTTATGATGTAGTCATCCAGAAATGACTTTTTAGTGTTACAGAGAAATTACAGCTGAATTGAAAATTTGTACTATTTCTATCAGTTAATAAAAGTGATGGTTTAAAATAAAATAAAATAAAATAAAATAAAAGAATATCGAATACAAAAAAGCAAATTACATTATAAATTATATAAATTATTTAGTGCATAGATATTGAGTATAATTTTTACCAATAATTTAATTATACTATATTGCATTAATTTTATTGAATTATTAGCTGGATACCTGTACTTTGCAATGAAACTATGTGATTGGGCTATTCAGAAGAAACTTGGTTCACAATCCTTCGGCTCAGTGGTGGTCAGTGATTGAAACACATAAGGGTTTCCTTTGTCCATTCTCCTTTTCCTTTCTTTCCATCTATCTTTCCATCTACGTCTGCCTGTCTGCCTGCCTGCCTGCTTATCTATCTATCTATCTATCTATCTATCTATCTATCTATCTATCTAT